ATAAACAATTCATTCAAATCACTTAGTCACAGGTCTACAAATACTAGCTTGATATTGGTAACTCAGCAAAAATGTATGAAAAAATGGTTACAATTAATCTGAATTTCTACCATTTGTATTTGAATACAGAATTAGTAGTAAAGAATTCTGTCATTATACTTTCCATACAAAAGAGGACTCCTCTGCCTTTCTAACCTTTAACCAGCATTCAGACCAGAGGTGGTATTCAGCAGGTTCTGACCAGTTCTGGAGAACCGGTAGCGGAAATTCTGAGTAGTTTGGAGAACCGGCAAATACCACTTCTGACTGGCCTTGCCCCCATCTATTCTCTGCCTCCTGAGTCCCAGCTGATTGGCTGGATCTTCTTTTGTTGCCCTGCATAGGAGAACAGAACTGGAAAGCAGATTAGTGTGGTGGGGAGGGAATGGGATTTTGCAGTAACCTTCCCCCTGGAGTGGAGTGGGAATAGAGATTTTGCAGTATTCTTCCCCTGCCACGCTCACCAACCCACTCCAACCAAGCCACACCATGCCCACCAAGCCATGCCTACAGAACCAGTAGTAAAACAATTTGAATCCCACCAGTGATTCAGACCTTCTTTACTATCTATAGATTACTTCAATAGTTATCAGGTATGAAGTGCTAGTGAACATGGCTGTTGTGCATCATGGATTGTTTAAGATAATGGGATTTAAGTATCATAGGATGCTTGGGGGGAGGGCACAATGGGACAAAACAGAAGAATTACAGGTAAAATGAGCTAACTAACTTTCAAGGAGGTATGCTACTCTACAATTCCCAAGTCCTTAGCCAGGCCATGGAATAATGAATAAGATTACCCTTAAGCATGTGTGTAAGTCTCTTCCTCTTTTTGTGATTAACCACAATGTTCTCAAACAGACTGAATCAGAATTGTAAGAGCAAGCAACTTCTAAGCAAGCTTAAACTCTAACATCCTGAAAGCCAGAAGGGACCACATGCAGGAGCTGGGATTTTAAAGCAGGCTATGGCATGGTAAAATTGTACACTGCTCAAAAAAATAAAGGGAACACAAAAATAAGACATCCTAGATCTGAATGAATGAAATATTCTTATTAAATATGTTGTTCATTACATAGTTGAATGTGCTGACAACAAAACCACACAAAAATTATCAATGGAAATCAAATTTAGCAACCCATGGAGGTCTGGATTTGGAGTTACACTCAAAATTAAAGTGGAAAAAAACACTACAGGCTGATCCAACTTGGATGTAATGTCCTTAAAACAAGTCAAAATGAGGCTCAGTAGTGTGTGTGGCCTCGACGTGCCTGTATGACCTCCCTACAATGCCTGGGCATGCTCCTGATGACGTGGGTCTCCTGAGGGATCTCCTCCCACACCTGGACTAAAGCATCCCCCAACTCCTGGACAGTCTGTGGTGCAACGTGGTGTTGGTGGATGGAGTGAGACATGATGTCCCAAATGTGCTCAATTGGATTCAGGTCTGGGGAACGGGAGGGCCAGTCCATAGCATCAATGCCTTTGTCTTGCAGGAACTGCTAACACACTCCAGCCACATGACGTCTAGCATTGTCGTGCATTAGGAGGAACCCAGGGCCAACCGCACCAGCATATGGTCTCACAAGGGGTCTGAGGATCTCATCTCTGTACCTAATGGCAGTCAGACTACCTCTAGCGAGCACATGGAGGGCTGTGCGGCATCCTAAAGAAATGCCACCCCACACCATTACTGACCCACTGCCAAACTGGTCATGCTGGAGGATGTTGCAGGCAGCAGAACGTTCTCCAAGGCGTCTCCAGACCCTGTCATGTCTGTCACATGTGCTCAGTGTGAACCTGCTTTCATCTGTAAAGAGCACAGGGCGCCAGTGGCGAATTTGCCAATCTTTGTGTTCTCTGGCAAATGCCAAACGTTCTGCATGGTGTTGGGCTGTAAGCAGAACCCCCACCTGTGGACGTCGGGCCCTCATACCACCCTCATGGAGTCTGTTTCTGACCGTTTGAACAGCCACATGCACATTTGTGGCCCGCTGGAGGTCATTTTGCAAGGCTCCGGCAGTGCTCCTCCTGTCCCTCCTTGCACAAAGGCGGAGGTAGCGGTCCTGATGCTGGGTTGTTGCCCTCCTATGGCCTCCTCCACGTCTCCTGATGTACTGGCCTATCTCCTGGTAGCCCCTCCATGCTCTGGACACTACGCTGACAGACACAGCAAACCTTCTTGCCACAGCTCGCATTGATGTGCCATCCTGGATGAGCTGCGCTACCTGAGCCACTTGTGTGGGTTGTAGACTCTGTCTCATGCTACCACTAGAGTGAAAGCATCGCCAGCATTCAAAAGTGACCAACCCATCAGCCAGAAAGCATAGGAACTGAGAAGTGGTCTGTGGTCACTACCTGCAGAACCGCTCCTTTATTGGGGATGTCTTGCTAACTGCCTATGCTTTCCACCTGTTGTCTATTCCATTTGTGCAACAGCATGTGAAATTGATTGTCAATCAGTGTTGCTACCTAAGTGGACAGTTTGATTTCACAGAAGTGTGTTTGACTTGGAGTTACATTGTGTTGTTTAAATGTTCCCTTTATTTTTTTGAGCAGTGTATTTAGACTGTATTATTTGAACCAGCAAGGATTTTTCTCCTTTATGCAAGAAAGAGAAATCTAGCTAGTGTTTCTCAACCTCAGCAATTTTAAGATGTGTAGACCTCAATTCCCAGAATTCCCCAGCCAGCAGAGAAGCAAGGAATTCTTTTCTATAGAAAGTGTTGCTTTTTTTAGATCCTGATCATGAGGTAAGCTTCAGATGCAGCTCTACCTTTTCAGTAAGAAATAGACCTTAACTTAGTTTCTAATAATTTTGTTGGGTTTATGTTAATATTAGAATAGTCCTCTAATATTCTATGGTTTACAAACTTGATTTGGATTTACACTTCATGTGAAGCCACCTTTTATCATGTTATGCTAAGCAACTGTAACCCAACAGGTTTTATAATACCCAGGCTTCACAAGTTATAACAGTTGGCTTCATACAACATGCTAAGCCAAAAATAAACAATCACACAACCTATGAATCCGGCTTTTGTGGTTGTTTTTTTTAATACTGCTCTTCTATTTTTGTCTTCCCAAATCAAGGTGGATTAGGAAAACACCACCAAAGGAAAATGTCAACTGTACAAATTGTGAGAGAAAATAAAAGTCTAGATTCATCAGCTTATCTGTACACTCCACCCAAGCAGTCTTGACTCCAGGAATGCCACGTTTCATTGCTCAAAAGCTAGGAAGAGCCATTCAGGTGTGCAGATGCCCTTTTTGCTTCTAATGATCATGGTGTCAGGTTTCCAAGTGAGGATAATATTGGAAAGCTGCAAATATTGACAGCTTCCAGGACCATCACACAAATGTGGATGCCAGCTGAGGTTGCCACAAAAGATCCGACTCACTATATGTGTTCTGGTAAAAGCACAGAAACTGGTCAAAAGAAAAAGTTTAAATCAGGGGTGTCCAACCTTGGCAACTTTAAGCCTGGAGGACTTCAACTCCCAGAATTCCCCAGCCAGC